CATTTATGCATATTCTGATAGGATGTTATGAACAGCTGCAACCAGCACAGATCCTTAAAAGGTACAGTTTCATGTTTATAAGTGTGTGTAGGACCACTCTCAGGATATTCAGACAGCTGTTACTCTAATTCAATTTCTTAAACAATATAAGAAAATGAGCTTTTCAGAGAACCTACAATAGTATTTAGATTATCAAATAAGAGAAGCAGGCAAAACTGGCATGGAAATGGTTATTAGGTTAATCAGACTACCCCATGGTCACTGCCTTAGCCCAGAACTAGAAAATACCCAAAACAGTTGATATCGAACAGATCAAACAACTCATACTAGCAAGATATGCAGTTCCTTAAGAACCACAAAGTCCTGAGTCAATAAGATTTACACATTAAAAGCTACATATTTGATAAACCCTAAAGGCAAACTTCCATAGATTTCATTTTACTGTCCCAATATATGGTCCATTAATAAACAGAATTAATAAAATATACAAAAAGGTAATAATAGCAATATGAGCAAATAATTGCGCAGTATTTACTATGTAACAGGCATTATGCTAAATATTTTATATGTTAACTCATAATCCTCACTAACCCCAGTGAAACAGAGAAATCACTTACGTTCCCGGTGTAAATTAATCCCTTAAATTTTTGTAAAGTATTCTGGCAATAGGTACTGAAATTTTAAGCATATATATCCTTTCACCAATTTCACATCTTGAAATCTATCCAACAAAAATAAAAGTATTAATATGTAAACATAAATATAAAAGAATTGTTGAAGACTATTTCTAATTGCAAAAATTTAGAAACAACCTGAACATCTGAGGAAAGCATGTTAAAGCCATAATATGGATTATATTATGTACTTAAGGAGGTAAATTCATATTTACTGACTCAAAGATGTCTAAAATATAAGTGAAAGAAAATAATTACAAAATATAGTATGATCCTATTTGTTTATATGGGCACACATGTCCCTACATATATTTGTAGAAGTCTAGAAAAAGTTATGCAAGGATAGACAGCAAACAGCAAATAATTAGAGAGGAAACAATTTTACTTAGCACTTTATTTTTGTTGTTGTTAAAGCAAACAAGTATTTTATTAAGTCAGAAAAAGTTTTAATTTAGGAAACCCAATTTAGAACCTGATGACATAAAGTTCCTATAGATTACACCTACCAATTCTATATACAAAGTTGTATTTTAGTTCTTAAATGAGTCTAAGAAACTACTTTGTTAACCTCAATTAGACATGAGAAGTGTTAGCAATCTGAAGCTTTAGTTAACCAATCCACTTTCCTATTCACTGAACCCAAAAGATCCAGTCATCCTAACGCTCTACTTAGATCTACAACGTGTAAAGATATTCACTCCATAGAGGAACACTTTTCTTGCACAAATAAGGTATCAGATATTAATCTTCCAGTTAGCCAGAACCCACCTTACTTTCAGCTTTTGCTCTCAAGAGCAGTTATTAACAGACAATTTCATCTCTTCAAATTCCTAATATACTGTTTTACGAGGAACTAAGTCCATGAAAATGATAACATAAACTATTCATACACAGAATTATCTTCTTAGGTAACTGATCTCTACCCTATAAATTTTGTACAGTACGGCCCAACTAACTCCTGTAATGTGTGGCAGTCCGTTAACATTTTTATTCCAAAGAAGCTTTAAGATTGTACTCTTTCTACTGTAATAATCCAACTAAATATAAAAATAGGCTTTCCATCTTATTCCAAAGCCTATGGTCATGAAATATCAACACGACACTCATAATTTAAAACTCCAAAGTTTATCTCTAAGCCGCCCAAACTTTTCTCCCATGCTTCCACACTGGTGGAGAGCAACATAAACTCCCACGTGGACTAAATGATTGCAATATCCTCCTAAGCATCATCCGGCTTCTTCTCTTGCACCTTCTCAGATAAATCCGTTCTCCACAAAAAAGCCAATCACATCTTTAAAATATCAATTGGATCACCTCCCACAGCACCTAAATAAAAATCTTTAACATGATTTACAAAGCCCTGCCATAATCTAACCTGTCTTGCCTAACTTCTCTGCAGATTCAATTCACAGCATTTTTTCAAGTGGCTATAATCCTCTCAAGTCTGTCAAGTGTGCCTCAGTTCTTCCTCACTTGCTATTCCTTCTGCCCGGAACAACTCTTCCTCGCTCCCACCAAGAACCTCCATGGTAAAACCCTACTCATCCTCTGCGTTTCACCTTAAATGACACTTCTTTAAGAAGCACCTTCCATCACCACCCCATATCCAATTTAAATTAGGTCCCCGTCATTGTTTTCCGTACTTTCCCTCTGGACCTTTACCACAGTCAGTAATTACATATTTGTTTAGCATCTGGTTTTCTCCACTAGCCATGTCCATGATGGCAGGATCTTACTTGTTTATCAGAGTACCTTCAGTGCTTAGCACAACAGCTGGCATGTTAGAAGCACTCATTATCTGCTGAAATGAAAGGAAGCCTATATTTGGTGGGAAAGCAAGGGTCTCTTCTAGATAAGACTCAACTGGCTCCTCAAAAATGGAATTCAAATCCTGTTGCACCCACAATTTTAAATGAGTTACTTTCACTATACCCAGCCCTCCAGAACCTGCATCTCATTCCACTCTCACACTAAAACAAACCTATGTCACATTCCCTGTGTACCTCTGAGATATAAATCCATTCCTCCATAATCACTACTTTAAAGAAAAAAAAAAAAAAAAATCAACCGTTCTGCCCCCCATATTCTACTTAGCCAAAGACTCCAACACAGAAATCTAAGCTAATCGAGATCATAGTTCAAAAACTACTTGAGGGCTTCCCTGGTGGCACAGTGGTTGAGAGTCTGCCTGCCGATGCAGGGGACGCGGGTTCACGCCCCGGTCTGGGAAGATCCCACATGCCGCGGAGCGGCTGGGGCCCTGAGCCATGGCCGCTGAGCCTGCGCGACCGGAGCCTGTACTCCGCAGCGGGAGGGGCCGCATCAGTGAGAGGCCCGTGTACCGCAAAAAAAAAAAAAAAAAAAAAAAAAAAAAAAACTGCTTGAATGTATGGCATCCCTCTAAGTTCCTGGAAATATAGGAACATGTAAGGAAAATTACTTTTAAGTATTTAAACAGATATTCTTATCACAATTACATGGTGTATCTGGTCACCCATCAAATAGTCTTTGGGACAAATTTAACTGTGATCTGGGCAGATTAAATTCTTTTCTGAAACAACTCTTTCAGTTCCAAATAATGAGATTCATGGTAAAACTGTTGCAGTTACTATTTATCTAAAGGAGAAAAGGGGTCATAAGAGTCTAAAAGGACAGGAACACTTCATTCCAATATTTGGAATTCTCTTACCTTTGGAGCTAAAGTATGTTTAATTCTAGCTGGGATAAGACCAAAAAGTTACATGCCTAACTCAGTGCTCTAGCCCTCTTAATTTCTTGAGGAAAACTATCTCTACAGATGAAGCAAACTAGGATCCAGAGAGGAAAATAACAAATAGGAAATTAACGCTTAAATACTTAAAAACTTCATTGTACAATACACTTCCCTGGAAATACAAATTAGACCCACTGTTAAAAACTATGAAGATGGGAGGGTTGGGGATTGGGCTGTGACTGCTAATGAGTACAGAGTTTCTCTTGTGGAATGATGAAAATGCTTTAAAATTGTGTTGATGGTTGCACAATTTTGTGTCTACACTAAAAACAAACTGTACACTTTCAAAGGGTTAACTGTATGGTATGTGAATTATATCTCATTAGTTAAAAACTATAATAAAATTGAGAAAGGAACATCAAACTGTGGTTTTGGATCTGGGATGGGTTTTGGGGGAAGCACATGGGTTACGTCTAAAATAAGGGATAGAAATTTGATAAGTTTAAGGGAAATGTTGTCAGCCTTCTGGGTAGCAAAGATCAGTCTGGTATAGGGAGCAATCGAGTTGGCCAGAAATTGCTGAAGTGTAACAAAAAGCAGGGTGAAAAGCGAGCCTTAAAACAGAGGCCCTTAATGAGACACAATGAGAACCTAGCAAATAACAGAAACTTCTTAAAAAGATTCTGTCCAAGAGGAAGACAATGGATTGAAAGGTGTCTCTACGTACAAAAGACTCTTACCCTAACCAAGGAAAGACCTGGGTGAGTCATGATTTCTTAGCGCTGTGTCTATACTGGCTCCATAACTTACCATAGGTTCTAAAAGTCAAAGTGAGCCCCTGAGTCATTCATTAACAATTGCAGCCAACACCCTGGTTGGAATGTATTACAGTGAAAGGGGAACACTGTTAGGGATAGGTGCGCAAAGAATGACAGCAGAGAATGACCCAACATTCAGTTCAATATACTGAAGCGACGTGAAAAACCAAAGCGAATGCAAAAAGTATCCAAAAGGTATCGATTTTATTAAATCCTTTTCTGATATCTTTCCGTGCCAACCGTATCTGGAGATCTCTGATGCTACGACTCCCTCTCTTCCGGGCGCCACCCCACCCCCCACTCACGTGGGACTCCGGCCTCTGCACTGTCTGACCGCCAGCCGGCAGACGCCAGACCTGTTCAATTAAACTTTTATTAAGCTCCTGCTGGGTGCAAAGCTCCCAACTCTGTGCTGGGCTTTAGAGAAGTCAATACGCCCTGGGCCTATTATGTGCCCTCTAAAAGAGAATCTCGGTGCATCCCACATCCCGGGCCTGCCTTCCCTCCAGCTCCTACCCACAACCTCCGCTGGTCCAAGTACCCACTCGGAGCCCTCGCTCGGCCGGCGGGCCACAGAAAAAACGCCTCGCCCCTGGCGCAGACCCACACGGGAGGTCGCGGCCCCTAGTGACCTAAAACGCAGTGGGGGGTCCACTACCCACCAGAGCCCCGGCTCGGAACGGAGGTGACTACCCGGCCCGCGTTCCCCAAACTGCGAGGGTCACAGACCGGAGCAAGCGCTACCTCCCCACCCCCCAACCCCCAGTGCTCGCGGCTACCCTGGCCCACACTCACGGCGTGCAGCGGTCGCTGTATTCATTAGCGATCGTTTCGATGCCGCCGGCGCGGGCTACAGCGACGTAGCAGCTCTGGAACCCCAGATCTATGCCCACCACCGACATGGCGCCGGCTACAGCTCAGGCTCGAGCCCGGGTCCGGCCGGCAAGACAAGACACGGACCCCGGCGGGGCTGGCGCGCGTAAAGCGGGCCGCGTGGGCCAGGGAACTGGGGCTAGTGGAAGACGTGCGGAGGGCCACGCAAGCGCCTAGGTTCTTGGAAGGAGGGCCGCAGCGCAGGACACTACTCAGGCCGGCTCCGGCTCAGCGGCCGCAGCCTGGGCGCCGGTAGCGGGGGCGGAGAAGATCTCGAAAGGTCTCGTCGCTACGAGAGTAAAGAAGCAGCGCGAGAACTGAGAGGGAATGTTCTCGCGAGACTCCGGCTCAGCCCCTTTTCTTCCTGAGGCCCCCGCCCCCCCAGTTACGTACGAGTGTACGTCCCTCCCAGGCCCAAGAGCCTGGGAAGGGGCAGGGCCGGCGAAAGACAGATGGGAGGCGGAGTTGGCCATTGAGAATGTACACTAAGTGCGGCGGCAAAGAGCAGTGGAGCACCTCCCCTTCCAGAAAAAAGTAGGACAGCCGGTTTGAGGCAAAATACTGAGGAAGCGCTTTTGTCCTACTTCCGCTTTTTTCTTTATCTCAAAGGAAGTTCTGGTTGTGTCACTTCCTACGCCACACCTTGTGTTGGGAAATGGGAGCACAAACTAATCTTAAAAGTCCAGAGGCGTCTCTCATCTGCTCTCCTTGGGGTAGGTTGGTGGATAGAGAAGGCCGCCGTTGGAACGCGGCCTTCGGCAGTCTTAGGTAAAACGCTGTCAAAGTCAAAGACAGCGCCCTCTGCGGCGGAGGGGAGGACTCCACCCTCAAGTCCACCGCCTTGATTTTTTCGTTCAGCCTCGTCGCACCGTTTTCTAAACCACTCCTGTCCTTAGGTCAGACTGAGGAGCCTACGGCACTTAAGCCTTTCAATCCCCAACCCATTCTAAGCACACGTCTTGAGCTGGATGCAAGAGACACTGAGGGAGATGACATGCTCCTAGGTACGTTCAGACCAGCCGGTAAGTGGCAGGATGAAATGAAGCTAGCGAATCATCAGGATCCCTCACTTGCATGGGCACCTGGGAGAGCAAGGAGTTGCTGAGAGTTACGGTGGCTTCCAGTTGTGGAGGGGAAGCCAGCTGTCAATCGGGAAGCAACTCTTTGTAATGAGCATTTCTGATAAATCGCTTAAAGATATCTCAGAAGACGGGGAATCTGAATTTCCATGTCTCTAGTAATTTCATGTGATGTCTTATTCTAAGTATTTACTTTGTAAATACTTAAGCATTGTATAAGCTTCAACCCCACAAAACCTGAATCCAGTACAAGAGTAGCTAGACAGGTAAATGGGGTCCCAGTACCTGGTGGCAAGTTTGGTCCACGCATAATGGGGGAGCGGAGGGGAAAGGGCAGAGAAAATTTTTTGTTTAAATTTTTCTAGTCTTCCCATAAAATATGAATTTTATTTCACACCTGTTGCCTAAGAAGGCAGCAATGCCCAAAGCCCATGTTGGGTGCCTTTAAACTTGCTAATCACCACACGGTTCTCACATTTTGGCTAAATCAAACCTGTTTTTCTCTTCAAAAACAAGCACTGAGTGCTCCCTGAGGCTGTAATAGGAGGTATGGAGGCAGGAAGAAAAAGCCTTTGAAAAAGAGAACAAGGACAAACAGATGCTTGTACACCCATATTCACAGCATTATTCACAATAGCCAAAAGGTGGAAACAACCCAAATGTCCGCTGATGCATAAATGTGTTTTTAAGATGTGGTATATCCCTATGATGGGATATTATGCAGCCTAAAAAGGAACAAAATTCTAACACGGTGCAACATGGATGAACCTTGAAAACGTCATGCTAAGTCAAAGAAGCTAGACACAAAAAAAACAAATATTGACATTCCATTTACACAAGGCGCCTAGAATAGGCAAATTCATAGAAACAGAAATTAGAATAGTGGTCACTAGGGGCTGGCTGGTAGGAGGGATTGGAGAGTTACTGTTTAATGGGTACAGAGTTTCAGTCTGGGATGATGAAAAAGTTCTATAGTTGGATAGTGGTGCTGGTTGCACAACAATGTGAATGTACATAATGCCACTGATTTGTACACTTTAAAATGGTAAGTTTCCTTATGTATATTTTACCACAATTTTAAAAGTAAAGAAAAATAAGAAAAATTGTACTTGACCTTCCTTCCTCTATCTCCTATTTTTCTCCCACCTAGGAGGATATCAATAACACCAAAGAAGTTACTGGCTTTACCTATGACAGAGTCCTGTCTCCATCTGTCTACTCTGGGTTATTAAGCACTGGGCAAACAAGCCAGTCTGTAAACAGATAGGGTAGGGGGTCCACGGAGAAAGAGAACCAGGCATGGCTTTCTTGATGTAAGAAAAGCCATATTTGGCCAAAGCCATTTTTTGATCTAAGCCTGGCCACAGTGCTTGCCGTTAAACAGGTGTCAGTAATCAATGATCGTAAGGGAAGTGAGGGAATGCAGGAACAAAGGAAAAGCAGTCAAGAAACAGTAGTTCAGCAATAAAAGAGTCCTAGTTCCTCCTCAAGGGATGTACATAATATGATACACATCTTCAAGTTCTACAGCAGCTAAGGCCCCCACCCAGATGGAGGATGGAATGATGTTGATCTTTTCTGACCCTTGTGGCTTTAATCACCTAAAGCTTTGTCCCAGTTCAATGTTAAAAATCTCCTCAGCTCAAGCCCCTTCATGAATATGCATATACCACACAAGGCCTTTCATGGATATGCACGTACTCTTGGCTTAAAACTTCCCCAGTTTTGCTGTTCAGGGAGACACTGCTTTGAGAAAGATCCCCAGTGTTATTTCTAACTGCAAGTAATAAATCCTTCCTTCTCCCTATCTTTGGCTTGGTTGTGTCTTTTGGCTCAACACCCACCAAGAAGGGAACCCGGTTTTTGGGTAACAAGCCTGACCTAGGCTGAAGTGCCTAAACTACCTAGAAGATCACTATGTCTGGGTTGTGGACTCTGTCTCTGCCTTCCATCTTGTGGGAGGCCTCCCCAGCCTTTAGCTAAACTGGCAAAAACATCCCTATCTTTTTGTGTTCCAACTTCATACCTACCTGCCTTATTTGCCTTGGCACTGCTTTCAGTTTAAAATACCATTGGTTCTATCAATCTTTTGAACAATTTGTCCTTCTCAAAATGAAGTATAACATCAGTCACAGAGAGCACTCTTCCTGCTAAAAATAGTGTCTTTGATCATCAAACTTATAGCTCAAGAGGCTATTCTGGGATATTTAAATAAATCAAGTCAGAAAAGGTTATTTAAGAATTCCAAAGAATCTAAAGGAACAAGTTTCCAAGAATCGATTGTGAAGCAGTAAAGTTGCCAGAATTTTTAATGTTAAAGGCACTATGGGTGTAGTGCAAGTTCTTTTCATTTAGCAGAGCATCTTGAGTATTTTAGAAGGAAGTTGTTAAATGCCTTTCTCTGTTACAATGATTAAATTTAGTTCTAAGCAATTAGCAAAGTTTTTGTTTGTCTGTTTTCAGTATACAGTGTTCATAGCCTGCCTACCACGAGACAAAATTTCTCAGTTGGGAATTCATAATCTTCCCTGCCAGGTGTCCAGTGGAATCCTGTTCTATATTCTGGAGCAGGTTCTGGAATCATTTGCTTCACAAGTAAGCTACAAACTCAGATAATGGTGTTTTCTGGCTTCCCTGATATCACAGTGAGTGGACCAATGCCCTTAGCTGAACCAGCGCTCCTTTCTTAAACACTAAAACTCTAACAACTCAATAATAATGGTAATTACTTCATCTCTTGCTCCTACAGTATGTGCCGGACATTGTGCTGAGTGATTTGGATATCATAATCCATTTAATCCTCACAGCATACCCATTAGGTGGGTGTTATTTTCCAATTTTGAGGATGAAAAAACAGAGCTGATGAGGTTAAAAGAGCTTGTCCAAGGTTATATAACTTTTAAAACTCCGATTTCAAAGTGGCCTCCTACAACTACACCACTGCTTTCTCTAAGCTCATGTTCCTTGTAAAGGCTCCGTAGAGTAAATATGGGAAACAAAAGAATAAGAGAAATTAATTCAACTAGTCATTCACTGTAGACCTTTTGGAATACTTTCCTTACTTTCAGTGTTTTTGTTATGTATATATGATGGTTGAATTTGGTTGTGCCTTTTTTATTAGGTTAAACCAGCCTTTCCCAAACTGTGTTCTATGAGATATGAATAGGTTAATAATGTCATTTTAAAGACTCTGAGAAGTCTAAAGAAAACCTGTTTAAACGTTGTTTAATTATAAGTACAAGTATAACAAACATAAATATAAGGAGTTGTAGGGCACAGTTTAGTCTCCTGGTTTTTTCCCTCAAGCATTTTTCTAATCTTAACACTCTTCTGATATAGAAACTACCATTACAGTTCACTCCTAACCCCAAATTCGCTGAAATCCTAGTGTCCTTCCTCACACTATTATACCATCTGCTTACATAGTATCACTATGATCTCATTCTGAGGCCCTTTCCCAAACCCTCACTCTTTTGCCTTCATTCGGGCTGATTACACTTATACATACGTCCTGCAGTATCATCAGTATCCCAAACCTTTCCCTCTTTATAATCTTAAAATGCTGGGTGAACTTTGCAAAGATTTCTCCAGGCCACACAGACTGATACCATCAGGAAATTTTAACCCCTTCATCTAGGTCTCTTGGTCACTGATAATTTTCCTGACCTGATTCATAGCCTCCTTACCTATAAGCTCCACCCTCTCCTCAACCAGCCCCAGACTCAGCCTTCTTCCAACTCTATAGCAGCTGACATTCCAACTCCACCCCCAAAGTCCAGCCTCTTGGTCTGGTCTGCTGAGACCAGAAACGTGACTCTCACCTGCTCAGACTCTCACCTGCTCAGCTGGGTTTTGCTCTGGCTTGTCCTGTTCCTGAGTACAGAGGGACCCCCCCCCCCCCCACGGCCGCCCCCC